GACCAACTCGGGTTCCATCCAAATGTGGTGCACTTTATTTTTTGACGTCTATTGATGATTACTCTAGGAAGGTTTGGGTCTATTTTCTCAAACATAATAGTGATATTTTTAAAACCTTCGAATAATTAAAAGTTCTAGTAGAAAATTAAAGGTTAAACGTTGTTCGAATAGATAATGACTTGGAATTCTATGGTGAAAAATTTAATGAGTTTTGTACAAACTCTAGGATTGTCCAACATCACATAGTTAGACACACTCCTCGGTAAAATGGGGTGGCAGAGCACATGAATAGGACTTTGATGGAGAGAGCTAAATGTATGCTCTCTAATTCGGGTTTAGAGAAGGATTTGCAGGTTGAGACAGTTAACACGACTTATTATCTTGTTAACCATACTCCCTCTACTTGTCATTGATTATAAAACTCTAAATGAGGTATGGTCGGGTAGATCTAGTGATTATTCAAATTTAAAAGTATTTGGATGCCCTGCTTATTATCATGTTAAAGATGATAAACTTGAGCACTAGAGTAAAAAAATGCTTATTTATTGGCTATGCTAATGGGTTGAAAGGTTATCGTCCGTGGTGCCTTAAACCCAATTTATCTAAATTCATTATTGGTAGAGATGTTACTTTTAATGAGAAATATATTATTGATCAAGGAAAGGTTGTTTGTGAGTCTACAAAAAGGGTGAGAAAACCATGGATAAGGTGGAGCTTCGAGTGTAGTTTAAAAAAAAGACTCTTCAAAAACCATCCCCGGATATATCCCTTACGATTACTGGATGTGTAACAAGATTCAAATATGAATGAAGATATCATAGAACCCGAACAACCTTGCTCAATAGCTACTGGCCTAGACAGGAGACAAATGAAACCTCCCCAAAGATATGCTTATGTTAATCTACTAGCTTATGCCCTCATTGAAGGCGAGACAATGGGTATTTAGGAGCCTTCTATCTATACACGGATAGTATTTATGAAGAGTCTAGTCGGTGAGTCAGTTGCAATCACATAAGAACTCGAGTCACCGTATAAAAATCGGACTTGGGATTTGGTGAAATTACCTAAAGGTAACGGAATTATTGGATACAAATGGGTTTATAAGAAGAAATCAAGAATATCGAGTGTTGAAAATGCTAGATTCAAGACACGATTAGTGGCTAAAGGTTATAGTCAATGAGAAAATGGATTACAATAAAGTATTTTCTCCGATTGTGAAACATACCACTATTCGTGTTTTGCTTGCTATGGTGACTCATTTTGATTTGGAGCTTGAGCAATTAGATGTGAAAATAAATTTTACGCATAAAGAGTTTGAGGAGACTATTTATATGTCTTAACCGGAGGGATACTTTGTGGAAGAAAAAGAGGACCATGTTTACGGATTAAAGAAATCTTTATATGGCCCAAAACAATCACCAAGACGAGTGGTACTTAGAGGTTTGATAGTTTTATGCTTAATCATAGTTATTCAAGATCTACTCATGATAGTTACGTGTATTTCGGGTAGTTTACGGATATATCCTTTATGTATCTTTTATTCTATATGGATGACATGCTTATTGATGCTAAGAACATGTCGAAATTCAAGTGTTGAATAAACAACTCGGTGATGAGTTTGAGATGAAAGATCTTAGAGCATAAAAAAAGATCTTGGGTATGGAGATTTATAAAGATAGAAGGTTGGAAAATTATATGTTTCACATAAATGATATATTGAGAAAATAGTTGAACGCTTTGGTATACAAAAGGCCAAACTCGTCAATACTTCATTGGTCGTTCACTTTAGACTTTTGACTTCTCGGTCACTTTAAAATGAAGAAGAAGAAGAAAATGTCACAAGTTTCATATTCTAGTGCGAGTAGGTAGCATAATGTATGCTATGATCCACACTTATTCGGACATTGCCCAAGCGATCGAGTGTTGTGAGTAGATATATGGCTCATCCGGGAAAGGTACATTAGTAAGCGGTGAAGTGGATTCTCAAGTATCTCAAAGGTACCACGGACTTAGGTTTAGTCTTTGAAAGGGACGGTGACTCTAAAACTTCTATTATAGACTTTGTGGATTCGACTATGTAAGTGATCTCGATAAAAAGAGATTATTGACATGATATATCTTTACACTTTCGGGTTCTGCTATTAGTTGGAGATCAAAATTACGATCGATAGTTGTTTTATCGACTATCGAAGCGAGAATATATGACAGCGATTGAAGGTCGTAAAGGAGGCTACTTGGTTGAGAAATCTTGTAGAGGAACTTGGTCTTCAATAATAAGAAAATTCATTTGTCTTTTATGACAATCGAATGCTATACACTTAACTAAAAATCAAACACATCATGAGAGGACCAAGCATACGATATCGGTATCATTTCATTCATGAAACAATTTCGACAAGAAGATTGTAGTGAAGAAAGTTCATACTAAAGACAATCCGACTAATGTGTTAACTAAACCTATTACAATAAACAAGTTCACACATTGTTTGGACTTGAGTGGTGTTAAGAAAATCAAAGTTTGTTGTCTGAAAAGAGAGACTCGATCGTGTGAAGAAGAGAGACACGATCGTGTAAGTTTTCTTCTCTCCCGTGCTTCATGCTTCGCCCGTGTGAAACACTTTTCTTGTGCCCATAGGCCTTGAGCATTTGTCCGTGCATGTTAGGGCTTTGTTAGAGAGAAAGAATTTATTAGTCTTAACGTTGAAGTCAATATTTTCTCTCTTCGTATCTCTTATTTCTTACACCAAGTTAGCTCACATAAGCTTAGAGGTGTGTTTTGAGGAATTATTTGACAAGGTGGAGATTTGTTGTGTGTGGCTTGAATTTTATGGGCCAAAAATATATTTAGCCCATTAGGTTTTTTTCTTTATAGGTACGAGATATTTAAACCTTATTATGTCTCTATTTAAAAAATAGAGTGAAAGACATAGACTTTGTATTGAGCCTCCATGATTCTTTTATTCTCCTACTATCAAGCTAATAAAATTTTCCTTTTACCCGTGGAGTAGGCAATTTATTGAACCATATAAATCCTGTGTGTTGATAATTTGTTTAGTTTTAACTTTTGATTATTATTTACCATTACTTGTCTTGTTTTCACTTGTTTGTCATAATATATTACTTAAAGCATTTGATACCATATAAAACTACAATGATAAACCATTGAAACTTGATACATTTAGAATAGAATTCTTTGGAAGTAATGATGAAATAACTATATAGAGACCTAAGTAAATGCATCTAAATATCACACTTCATACAAGAATAAAAAGCACAAAAATTTAGTATGAAACAAGACCCAACAAGTACACCTTGGTTCCCATCAATACTCGTAATAAAGAAACCTTAGTTCTAATCAATCTAGTGACCATGCATTCCTTCCTCCCAACTCCTATTTTGGAAACATTGATATTCTTCAAAACTTAAATTTAATTGAAAATAAAAATGAGATCCATTTTACTTAGAGTTTCGATTTGAATTCCGAGTTGGAGAGAAAATATGTTTATTTGATGAAAAACCATACATTGCAATAAATTTAGAAAAAGGGAGATTCAAAGGGAAAGAAAAGAAAGAGAGACTCATAGAAATAAAAACACAAGAACTCACTAAAAGATCTTCGTTAATGGCTATTGTAGCTATGACCTTGCTTCTCGATCGTGACAACTACTATCACAAGATGATCTTTATATATCATGTCCGTAATGATGGTTTGGCTTATGATATAATCAAGTTTTAAAAGAAATATCATCGATAGTACGGAAAGTTCATAAATAATAACCGTTATCTATAAAATTAGATAAGTTTGTCCTATTTCTTTAACAAGGTATAAATTTTTTTCAAAATAGTTTTGGACATGACAAAAATTAATTATTCTTGTTCTATTTATATGTGCACCAAACAACTTCACAAAAAAAAAAAAATTGTCTTATCCAGTTTTGCTATGTCCAACATACCAAATCTATCCTTAAACAAAACAAAGTAATTCATAAATATTCTAATATAATAATAACTTTAGTAGGAGAAAATGTTTTATTTTGCCTTACCTCCCCGATATTTTTTTTACTAATAGATGATAACGACCAATTGAGAGTCAAACTACTCATTTTCTATCCCCTTACGTTATGTTCTAATTTGACTTTCTATTTTGCCTTGCCTCATCGATCTTTTCTTGCTTTGCTTCAAAACATTCCTCCGTGAAGAATCAATGAGAATGAACCTAACCAAGAGCATGGCTAGTGTCACTTTTGGCATGCTAGTTGTGCCTCTGCCGGATGTTTATTCACCCACTCCTTCACATAACGATGGCTAAGAGCAATGGACTTTGTTAGTAGAGCCAGAAAGTAGCATTGTTTTGACTCTCATCACGCCTGAAGATACATTTCAAAATATGCTTTTTTTATATTAAAATCGTCCTTATTTATTCACAATTACATATCAATTATATTATTACATTAAGATAGGACATGACACGATAAGTTCATTCCCACTTATCTACTGCGAAAAGAAGAACGTTTATTTCTTTTTTCAATGTAGCAAAGAAATTCTGATTCGTGCAGGATTAACCATTATCATAATTACATAATAATAATAATAATAACAACTAACGAGTCACTCAGTAGTTTACTGAGGTGCAGTAAAATAAATAAATAATAAATAGAAGTGATTATAAAAATTGACGCCCCCCTCCCTCTGGAAATAAGAACAAGCGGACTAACAACATTTTGAAAGTCAGTCACACCTACAAAAAGTCTACAAAGGAAAAATTACTAAAATAACTATAACTACGGAGTTTAATAATAAAAAGGAAAACATCAAATCCAAGTTATTCACTCCCATACCCACATTCTCCGATCCTAAAAAAAGGAAGTATCAGATCTCAATCGAAGGAAAAATAAAAATAAAAATAAAAATAAATATGTGTAAATAAAGAGTGTTTACAATGGGTATTATTGTTGTAGTATTAGCAGTAGTGAGGGTAGATCTCAGAGTTTTGAGTTGAAATGCAGCCGAATCTGTTCCCATTCGGTAGCGTATTCGGTAATCCGTTTTTTTTAAATGGTGATTTAGGAGAAGACGGTGTCGGTTTTGGATTTGAAAGCTCCAGATTATTCTTTTTGCTCCCGTTTTTATTGTTGCAAGGAGGAGGTGGAGGAGAAGGCAGCGGCGGAATGGATTTGTCTAAAGTCGGTGAGAAGATTTTGAGTTCTGTTCGTTCTGCTAGATCTCTAGGTCTTTTGCCTCCCACCGTTGATCGACCGGAGGTATTCATTTTGTTTTGTTTTATTTATTTATTTATTTTTGAAATTAATGCTGTTTGCATTTGCTAATTTGATTAATTAATTATGATTTTCGAAAATTTAAATTCGATGTTTTTTATTTAATGGCGATTGGGAAAACTAGCAATGCAATCTTGAACTTTCAAAAAGAAAAAAATAAAAATAAAATAGGAATGTTTTGATAGGAGGAAAGCTAGTAGCAAGACAACCGTTGTGTCTTAAACTTTGCCTTGTTAACTTAACATGCGCGTACAGTTCCTCTTACTGGAATTAAGTGGGCATTGCGAAACTTCATATTGGTAAATTAGGGTTGGCAGGCAAATGTCTCATCCTTTAACGTGAAAGGTCATTGCTGCCAAATTTTGGGTGCAGCCGATTTGAGTAATGGAGATTTATCATAAATGGTTGAAAGACGTGATGCTTCTGAGCCTTGATGTGAGTAGTGGAAATTTTGCTCTTTTAGATTGATTCTTGGTGTGACACATCACTAGTGGAGGAGTAGTTCTCCGGCCTTCTTGTTAGTTAGGGATCAGATTTATTTTCAGGTCAGATAGGGATATTAATGCCTTAGTTAACTCTAAAGATGGTTAGTGCTGTTCGTGAGTTCTGTTTATTCAAAATGCAAAGATTGGGATTTTGAAATATATGCTACTTCTCTTTTGGCATGCTTTGGAGATTCATGAAGAAGATTGTGTTCATTGGATATAGGGCTGTTTTAATCATGCTCTTGTTAGTTGTTGTTGTTGTTGTTGTTGTTGTGGTGTTTGGGGTTTGGGGGGGGGGGGGTGTGTTTGTGTGTGTGACAGCGCTGCCTCTTGATGGAAGCTAATTTGAAGGGGTGCTCTTTGATTTTTCCCATTCTCTTTTTGTTCTTTTATGAACTGGTGTGTTGGAGTATGTTGACCACCGACAATCTCAGAAAAAGGGATAAAATCTGTCAGTGGATTTTTTTTTTTAAGAGTCCAGCTGAATGGATTTGCCACTTTTAACATTTTTATTTGAATGCTGCGGGAGCATATTTTCAATGAAGTGGATTCTTTTGATGCTTATAAGCTTAGTTGAAGTACGGATATGAAGTTGTATCCACTTGTTTACTGATTAAAGCAGTAGTTTTGCTTTAATTCCTCTAGCTGTTTTCTGACTATTGTGCACGGAGCCTAATAGAAAGTCTTCAGATCTTTGGAACAGGGAGCAATATTTTGTTGACATTCCTTTGGTTATTTATGTTGCAGATTTCTGTCATGCATATTGGTTTCTTATTGTTGTTTATGGGGTTCTCTTTAGTAGAGTTTTTGAGTTTTTGCTTATTGAAAAAAAAAAAAATAGAGAAATGAGAAAGTTATTGGCAAATGGTTTGATGCTAGTGGTAAGGACCTATGTTTCTCTACTTCTCTCTCTGTCTTACAACTTTTCCTTTGCCAACTTTCTTGTGGAACTCTGGTGGCACATTGGTAAAAACTCTGAATATTTTTCATCAACTGTTATTCAACATATATTGAAAATGCCCATCCAGTAGGCCTTATTATGAGCTATATGATCGAAAGTTCTGCTTTCATTCAAAGATACAGAATTGAAAATCACATGAATGCGTTTAGTTTCTGAGCTTTAGTGCAACATCACCAGTAAGAGGCTTCTTTGGTTCAATCTCGAGCTGGTTGTTAAATGTTACTCTAGTGAGTGATTGGCTTACCATCTCTCGAACTACTCACACAGACCATCATTTTTCTGGAACAAATTTAGTAACAGTCTGTGGGATTAACTTTCCTCACTGTTAATCAGGAGTTCTTTCATTCAGATCGCTAAGTTGTGCAAGTTCATACTTAATCCTGGTTTAACTCTTGGTGCGACTCTCATGCACTGGGTTGTGGAGATTGCTTAGGCAGATTTTGATTCTTATTTTCCTTTCAGGTTCCAGCTCGAGCTGCAGCTGCTGCTGCTGTTGCTCGTGTGCTTGCAGGAATGCCTCCTCATCAGCGGTTTAATCTTCCTTCAAGTTCCGAAGAACTTCGATCAATATATGGAAGCAGACCCCAAGGCCACACAGTGGAGGAGCTGGAAGAAGACTTCTATGAAGAGGTTTCTACTTGTTTTAAATGTTCTTCTGTTTTTATGTGGCATGTCAATAATGTTTTCATGAAGATGGTTTATTTGTCAGAAAATGCTGCTAGAGCATACTTGTAGCAAGACTTATTGGTAGAACATCACTAGCTATTTTACTCCACACCTTCATGATGTGCTTTTAATTTTTCGTTTGTATTTGTGAGGGTGTAATCAATCATGGTATTAAATGCTCTAACTATTGGCTAGCCTTGTAATTTCCCAAAACCAGGAGGTCTTTGTAATTTTCCCTTCGTTCAAAGCAAAATACAACTATGTCTAGCTCAATCGTTTGAATAAGTCCCTTTTATTTTCTTAGGGCAATTTAACAGCAATTTGGTAAATGCTGATCAAACAAGTCATTGTCCATAACTGCTGTTAGAATTACTGTTAGTAGCGCGTCCCTTTTTAATTTAATCTAATGTTGCAAGATAATTGCTAAGTAAACAATTGCATGACTTAAAATTGAGAAAATCACAATTAGAAGGAAAAAAGGTGAATATCTTACAGCAGTGGCACCCTCACTCCAAGACAATCCACAATAAACTATTTAAAATATTGAAAAGTAAAAAAAAAAAAAAACATCACACAAGAGTTTATCACATTTATTGTTTGCTTGTAGAGAAGTCAAAAGAACGTTTCCCTTTTCTTTTGTATCACTTTTAAACCAAACTTGCAGAATTTTTGAAGCACAGGGTAGACTGCAATAACTGTCTGATCTAAAATCACTACTTCAAACCTACAGCTTTTAAAGACCATCTCTCTTCCCCCACCCCCCTCCCTCCCTCTCTTTCTCTCTCTACACACACACACACAGGCAGATGTTTGTAGAGTTAACCAATTTGTCAAATTGAATGGTGAGGCTCATTTTAAGGATGGTAAGATTGGATAGCTCTTCTTGTGATTAAAAAAAAAAAAAAAGTTCCCGTATGACACCATCATTTGGTCTTCAAATGCCATGGTTATTTGATAGTCATTTTGCTCCTGAACCAATTGGTTATCGGTTTAGAGTTTTGGATCTTGCTATGGTGTTGGATGTTTGTTGGATTTGAGATCAGTAGACATGAGTGGTTGATGGTGAAGTTGGCTTATTGATAAGACTAATGAAGCAGTGGTGATTTGAGATGGAATTTATTTGCAAGCAAACTTTTTATGGTTTTTGGGACTTTCAAGGGAGAGGATCCATTATGTTGTTCCAAGTGTTTTTTCTTCCAGAAATTTTAGAGAGATTGTCAATTTTTTTATTTTCAATATTTGAAAACAATGAGAGAGAAAACCTGTTAGATAATGAAGATCAAACATTGACATGCTGGCACAATATGTACCCTCTTTACTGATTGATTAGCCTTTGATGTTGGCCATTACTTGTCAATTTGTGGGTGAATAAACAAAACAAATATAAAAAGGCACATTATTGACTAATTGAACTAGATACGAGCTAATTTATTGGTTTTTGGCCTCAGAGAAATCTCCTGGAAGGTAGTGTTGTATGTGTAAATATAGTGGGTTCTCTATGAATCGCTCAATGTCTGGCCACAGAAGAGATGTGCTACTCAGGTTTTGCCAGTGCAATGGTTCAGATGCCATAAGGGTACTTTTAACAGCTAGAAGTGATGCTCTTTATAGATCAGTTCCATCAAATACTCTTTTCTGTTAGCAAGGAAGAAAGACCATATTAAATAAGGTGCCAAAAGGGGGAGTATTTATCCAAACTTGTTTTACCATAAAATTACTTTGTTAATGAATGCTCGTGTTGAGAATAGCATGGCCAATACGATAGCTCCTTATTTGACTGGCAACCATTTGACGATGCAATGCTATATCCTTTCATGTGATCCCACATTACGACCAAGTTGCACATGCTGACATAGTGAGCAAAAGATGTTTCCATAATTTTCTTGGCAAGTTGCTTTGTAGTTACTGCAACTTAAGGAGGGATTACATGTAACTCTAAGCATGGAATTTTTAAGGACGACACCGCCACTGCCATTTGTCTCAAAACTCTGAGATTCTTATGACATAAAGAGTTTATGTTTATCACTTTTGTGGGTTTTGTGGGAAGGAAAGATGGTAAGACTTTGTGGGAATGTGCCATTTGTGCAGTCTTATGGCATATGTGGTTGGAGAGAAATGCTAGAACTTTTAAGAATCCGTTCACATGGAGAGAATTGTTGTGGGTTGGGTAGCTTTTCTCTCTACTCTTTGGGTTCATGCTTTGGTACTTTTGGGGGAATTTCCTTAGGTCATAATGATATTCAGCGGGATCGGGCTACTCTTTTATTATTTTCTTTTTTTTTGCCTTCATGATCTGGAGGATGAGTCTCCATCCAACATAATTTTGTAGTTCTTTTCACTCAGTCAATATAATCTTCGTTTATATATAATATCTTATGCTGTGAGTTGTGTGACAAACATATGTATCCTTTACACTCTTGTGAAACTTTCTGATTTTATTTCTGCTTCTTAGAATATGAGTTTTTGCTTATGCATTCAGCTAAAGTTTTGAGCTGATTTACTAAAAGGCTGCTGGGCATCATCATGTGCAGGATTTTGATCCAATTAGGCATATTCTAGAGCATCTTCCATCTGAAGAAAATGAGCTAACGTATTTTGAGGAACAGGTACTTCCTTCTAGCAAAATAGCATCGATATTTTACTCCCTCTGCATTTATTGACATGATGTGGGCTGAATATTGCACGGTAATCAGATGGTCTTTTGTTTTATCTCATGGTATTTATGATTATAATGCCATTATTGTATGTTATACGTAAGGAGAAATGATGGATTTAACATATCATGAAATCATGAATAGTCACAAAAATAAAGTGGTCTAAAGTTGCATGCAAATTATACCATGCAATTGTGTGTCTGTTGCGTTGTATTCATTAATGCCACATAATTGGAAGAGGAATATCCAGTACTCTTAGAGTATGTCCCTACATGTGGGGTTCACTTATGATAACTATCCATGGACCCATATATATGCAAAAGGGAGGGCTTATACTGTTGAAGTACACACACATAGCGAGAGAAAAACTGTCTTTTGTAATTTTCACTGATGATATTCTCAAAGGATTTGGGCACTCTGAAATTATAAGGACTCTACATTTTTAGTATTGTTTCTTGATCTTTTTGCTAGTTTGGAGGATTTTATATTCTCTGAGCTCCCACATTCTTTCATAATAGTTATCTACTTTTCTTTGTCTAAAAGAGTAAATATTTGACTGTATGTGTAAATATGGTGTTAACTTTGGTGTTCTATTTGGCCCAAAATTTATATATTTTTTGTACCTGAATTTTGATGATTAGTCAATAATCCTTCGGCAGATAATATGCCTTGATACCTGATTGGTGAATAGTGGTTGGATTTTCCTATGTTCATTATGTTTATTGTTCTTCTAACTCGCATACATTATAAGCAACCTACTTTATAAACAAACCTAAAATTATAATTGTTCTTTGCTGATCTTCAGCTAGTTTCCCTATGCTTGTTGCTTTATTGTGAACTCATCAATAATATGATGATGACTTCATAGTGAACGATAATGTCTAATACATTGCCTGGGTTTCTATGAGGTTTATTTCTGGTATTCATGCACCTAAAGTGGACTGTTTCATTTAATGGATGAGACCATAGGCATGACTTGCCTGTTATTTATGCTTTTTGGATGCTTCATGTGCCTTGCATGATTACCAATCCCTTGTCAAATGCATTGGTTGAGTTTACAAATTTGGAATTTCTGGGAATTCATCAACTTATCAAAATATTGTTGTCTTTCACTTCTCATGGAATTCAAAATCCTTAAGCAAAAGAAAAGAAAAAAATGAATCCCTGCTAAAAAATTGAAATATATGTGTGTGCGCGCGCGGGTGCATGCATGAAAAATACAAAAAAAGAGTTAAGTGATGGAGTTTGTGCTATTAGATATTTCATTTCAGTTCAATTAAACTACTGCTACTCTAAACTTATAGAACACTCATTCAAATCTTTAGGGCAGTGGCAAAAAACTATTTGATTTTGGACTATTAGATATTTACCTGAAAGAATGTTATTGAACTTATGTGCATTTAAGGAGTGTTCAGCCTGCCCAAGCACGACATTAGTCGGATTCCATTGAATGAAGTAGTTCTCCTGATAGGAAGTTACCATGACCATTCGTCCTTTGTGTTCGTGCAAAGTACATAAAATTTATACAACTCAAGGACAAGTATAATATTGTTGGGTGTTTGGTGATGGAGTTTGTGCTTTTATTTGTCACTATTGTGGCTTTGATTCTTTTCTTTTACTGTCAGTACATGTCCCTTTCAAGTTCACAGAATTCGGCACACTTGTACACTTCATAGTTGTTGTTCATGTTTAAAGCTCATTATCATTCTAAACTACTGTATATAATCTGTTGTTGCACTTCATCTTTACACAGCATTGTCTTCTCAAATGTTTTTCTCGATTAATTGACTGCAATTTGATATGGATTCTTCTTTTTGTAGGCCACTCTTAGATTATTGCAACTAGATAGAGTAGCAGAACATTTATCCTGTCATGTTATGGAGCATCATGAAGTAATGGGTAAGGTCTTTTTAGGATTCATTTAAACATGAACATTTTGCTGATTTTTTCTCTTGATCAGGTAACTTGTGCATTTATTAATTGTCACATATCTAATTCAAAGTTATCTTGAGAAGGTTTGCATTCTTCATCTTTGTTAACCTCCTTTCCCATTTGTGCATTAAACACTTTTGGCGTTTATATGAGTTGATATGATGCTGTTGCACATGTACCCTGACATTAACTTATTTCTTATAGTTAGGTTTGTTGTTATAGTAATTTTCCTTGTCCATGCATTTATATTGACCAAGTAGAGAAAGCTTGGAGTGAAATTATCAAATTATAATTATAGAAAAAAGTCCATGTAGTCCTACTTTTGAATGAGATGTTTAAACTTGCTTTTGGCCAGTGAAGGGGATGAATTTGGTGAGGGAAGTAGAGAAAGATTTAAAGGTTGCGAATGTCATCTGCATGGTAAGTATTCCTGCAGTGTTTTCCTTAAATGGTTAAAGACCCTTAGTCAAGATGGATACTCCTAAGAAATGCATCCTTTAAAAAAAAAAAAAAATTCATGATGTGTGTGTGTGTTTTATGTTTGGGGATGCTATTATCATTGACGTCTCATCACTGTCTGCTCTGCTTCTCTTTCTGGATCTGGATTTCCATTATTTTGTTTTGCAGAATGGTAGAAGGCACCTGACTTCATCAATGAATGAGGTTTCAAGGGATCTTGTAGTGAATTCTAATTCCAAAAAGAAACAAGCTCTCCTGGTATGTTCATCTTCCTAGAGATCATAGGAATAACATCTGACATTTCATTCTTCGTATTTTATTTTTTCAATCAGAAGATGGTGATGCTTTGAGCTCCATTTGCCAGATATAATTCATCTTTTCCAATTTCAGGACATGCTTCCAGTATTAACCGAGCTTTGTCGTGCATTGGAAATGCAAGTGGCACTTGAATCCCTGGTTGAAGAAGGAAATTACTGCAAGGTTGGTCAATGTATCTCTGGCTAGTGATGTCTTATGGTATCATGGTCTTTAGTTCTCCAACTTCTAACAAAATTTGGTCAATTTTCTTGTTTATTGTGTCTAAGAGAACCCCCCTAAATTCTGTTTTTCTCGCAGGCATTCCAAGTCCTATCTGAGTATTTGCAGCTATTAGATAGTTTCTCAGAGCTTTCAGCAATACAGGAGATGAGTCATGGGGTTGAGGTGAATATAAATAAGAACACAAAATACATCTATTATTTCTATCAAGCTTTTGTAATAATTTTTTATGTTAATACAATTTTCCTTTGTCTGAGAAAAAATATACATGCATTATCCTAACCAAATTAGTCCTTTTTTTTGTCTTAAATAATGCATATGTCAAGAAATCCAAGTTCACTGTTGATGTTTCCCTAATTTTCATTCTCATGCTTCATTATTTCTCCATTTGATTGTATGTCGTGCTCTTTTATTGTGAGTAGAAGCTCACATTGGTGACAGACAGCTATACTCAAGTAATTTTGCTCTATTCTTGGAATTGTTTGATTTTCATACAGGTTTGGTTGGGGAGAACCCTTCAAAAGCTGGATGCACTTTTGCTGGGAGTGTGCCAGGAGTTCAAGGAGGAGAGTTATATTACAGTCAGTATATTGATCCTTTTTTGTGAAGTGGATATTTATCTTATTCAGATTTCCACATCAAATGCATATAATTGTCAAAATTGGTATTTTTATGTATTGTTTTGTGTAATTAGATTCATATAAATTGGTTTGTTTTATTCGTTGCTTTATGTTGTTTTTATCTTTTTTCATTGTAGCTTATTTTTTTCACAAGATGATTTTTATAGAATATCATGTGTATGATTAATGTAATTATCATTCTGAATTTGGGACATCATTTCCTCTATCAACTGGAAACTGATAGTTTAACTGTTAAAGTTTCTTGGGCATTGTATTAAAGACTGAGGAATGGATTTGACTCCTGCCCAGCTGGGGGTTTCTGGAAGGGGGTTAACTCTATCTGTTGCATAATCATTAGACCACTGAGAAAGGAAAAATGATAGCTTACTCTAGATCTTATCTAACCATTCCCCCCTCCCCATCCCTAAAACAATTTTTTTTGGTTTGATTCTATTGCTACCAAACATTAGGTATTTGAGTTTTGAACCACCTCATGTGCACCTAAACAAGAAACTATTTTGCAACAAAATTGTGGATTGTTAGTATTACAAAAAAACTTCTGTTCTCTCCCCCACCCTCATATTAGTTCGGGTTGTTCTACATTCCCCACTATCCTCATTATTTTTATCTACATGAGTAGTCAGAGACTCACAGTATGTTATCTTGATAAATTGCAATCAAAGAATCAATAGAACTGCTTGGAGTTTTGTGTGAAAATTTTGTACATTCAAATGATAGATTGTTGCATTTTGTACAGGTAGTTGATGCATATGCTTTAATTGGAGATATCTCTGGTCTTGCTGAAAAGTTGCAGAGCTTCTTCATGCAGGAAATTTTATCGGAATCCCACTCTGTGTTGAAGAATATTGTCCAAGAGGTAAACTCAAATAATTAAGATTTTATAATTGCAATTAGCTTCTGAGAATCAGTAGTGGACAAGTTATAAATAGCTCAGTTACGATTTTCAAGTCCAAAATCTCTCTCTCTCTCTCTCTCTCTCTCGTGCATGTTTGATAATGCTTGAGTTGAGGTTGTTTAAAGTTTCAGCTTGTTCACGTGGTTTTTCCCCTTAAAATTTTCTTTCCTTTTTAGCACTCCATGGAAATTAATGTCTTCTGTCTTCCTAAGGACATCTTTACTCAGATGACTCATTAACATATGCAGGATCTGGAGATACAGATGCAGAACAATAGGTACTTTCTTTTCACTTTAACTGTGCCTGTATAGAATTCATAGTAACTCTCAATTATTTTTATATGTTACATAACATTTTTTTTCATTCCATTCCAGACTTACCTACAGTGATCTATGCCTTCAGATACCTGAATCTAAGTTCAGGCAGTGTTTGTTGAGAACATTAGCTGTCTTATTCAGGTTGATGTGTTCCTATCATGAAATAATGAGCTTTCAGCTGGAGAATAAGGTAAGACTTAAGTTCTTTCTTTCCTCTGTTTTTGTTTTTCTTTTCCCTACTATTTCTGGGATGTTTTTAGTTTTTCTCGACAATAAGGTCAGCAATTGCAAACTTTGATGGTTAAATGGAGTGCCTTTAAATTCTCTTTTCCTATTTATGCTTTAGCCATTTTTGGTTTGTAAACTTTGTATGACTGCTTAAATATGTTTCTTAATTGACAGTGGAACAGTTGGTGGGTGTCTTTTAATCTAATGGATCATCTTGGATTGTTAATGCTTTGTGATTTGCTCTGCATCTAGCGTCTTGTTTTTCAGTTATTTTTAATAATTTGTTTTTGTTCTCTCTTTTTGACTACACATTTTATGGCTACATTGTTACCAATCGTAAATGAGGAACATTCATTTTGGACAACCTGGATTTCTTACATGAAATGAAGCTGAAAGATCTTAATGTGTAGATCTTTTATACCAACTTATAGCCTCTTAAACCAGGAAATTTTGTTTCTTCTGTTCTAGTTAGAAGATATCTTTTCTATCTCTTATGTAGTTGGTGAAACTAAATTGGTTCTGTAATGTTGGCTATTTCTTCTTTTTCATGTGTTTGTTTCTCAATTTTTATACTAAAAAATTGTCCAATGGCTTTCAGGATTTGGTATTCCAAACATCTGATATGAAGCATGATTCCTTAGGAAGCAATGAATATCCCCCTCAGTCTGTAGATAGAAGGCTTGGTTCATCTTCTACTGAGGAATCTACAACTACTTCTATGTATTTAGATTCCAATTTTGATGTAGATGAAACTAGAAGTAATGGCGGTGAAGCATCAAGCAGCGGATCCCCTTGGTATCAGCTGCGAAAAGAGGCGACAGCATTTGTTTCACAGACTCTTCAGAGAGGACGAAAGAATCTTTGGCAGCTTATGACAAGCCGAGTATCAGTATTGCTTTCTTCTGCAATTATTAGCTCTATGAGCATGCACCAATTCTTGAAAAATTATGAAGATTTGAGTGTATTCATCTTGGCTGGGGAAGCCTTCTGTGGAGTTGAAGCAATTGAGTTCAGACAGAAGTTGAAGGCTGTGTGCGAGAATTATTTTCTGGCATTTCATCGCCAAAATATTCATGTAAGTTGTTTGCCAGGTTTAGTTTGTTTTCCAATTTTAGTTTTTTTTCTTGTATGCTCTGTTACATTTACCTTTCGCAGCTTTAATGCCCCCCTCCTCCTCCTCCCTTAAGATGAAGTTTGCTTAGTCAATAAATTCACTTCTTCTTGTCTATTGTCTGGCACAATAACATGACTTGCTTTTATGTGATTCTAATAAATTTTTCTTATCAAAATTTTGAATACCCACTTGTTGAAACACGATGAGAGTTTTCATATTCTTGAAACGTTTTCAGGCACTCAAAATGGTTTTGGAAAAGGAAAGTTGGCTGAAACTGCCACCAGAGACAGTGCAAGTAATTAGTTTTGCTGGGCTTGTTGGGGATGGGGCAGCCCTGATAGTTCCATCTCATGGTAACTCTTCTAATGCAAAATTGCATCATTCTAACAAATCAGTGAACTCTGTTGATGGCACCAGCAAGAATAGTGGATTTACCTCTTGGATTAAAAATGGAAATCCATTTTTGCCAAAATTAATCCCCACTTCAATAGAAGGTCACAGTTCTTCCCTGCTTAATGGGGCAACTGCTGGTGAATACGATGGACATGCTAATGATAATTATCATGGTGATAATGTGTCTCCCATTAGTGGTGGTGCAAGCCATAAAAATGGAATACCTGTTTCAGAAGATGAAAATGAAGATCTACTTGCAGACTTCATTGATGAGGACAGTCAACTCCCAAGTCGAGTTTCAAAACCAAAAGTTCCTAAAAGTAACCCTTCACAATGTAAAAATGACGAAGTATCTGCACAGACAGGATCATCTCTTTGTCTTCTAAGGTGGAATGCCATTTGACTGTTAACTGAAAGCTATTTGTACATAGATATCATAACCTGCAACTATACCTAATTGTGCTTTATTGAGTTGTGTTTATTTGTGGATGTTAGGTCAATGGACAAATATGCAAGGCTCATGCAGAAACTAGAAATAATAAATGTCGAGTTTTTTAAGGTATGTTATATCGTCTACATTTCTTGTTTCCTTGTCTTCTATTTGTTTCAACTTCAAAAAATTAATGGTGCCTTTTTTTTTCTCTCTCTAAATTATTTTTCCTGATTCAGTATATTTTTGCAGGGTATATGCCAGTTGTTTGAGATTTTCTTCTATTCTGTGTTTGAAACATTTGGTCAGCAGACCTATAATTCAAGTGGAAAATCTGACTCTCTCAATTGTAAGGGTTCCTTTTTTCCTTTAATCTTCCATCCTGTACCATGCTGATCTATTCTGATTTGTTCATTCACCCCAAATCAATATAGCTGCTACTATTTTGAGCTAATGTGTACTCATAATTCATGTCTATGTTATGCAGATCGGCTGAAGACTGCCATATCCAGAATAACACAAGATTGTGACCAATGGATAAAACCCCAGCTGAACCCTGTTTCGTCCTCCTCACCGACATCTTTGAGTACATATATGATTGGAGATGTAACGCCTGCTAGTCCTCCAAATCATTCACTAGCCACATCCTTCGGTCTCAAGGTATTTATGCAAGAATAAATTGGAAAAATAAAGTTTTTTCTGGATGGAGAGATAATTTCTAATCCATTGCATTCCACCTGCACAAGTGTATTTGAATTATTGAAATTTTTGTTTCTCTAAGCAGTGGAGAACCAAGAAAGACTTCTAGGATTCATAATTGATCTTTTAATTTATTATTCAAGCCTCTTTAACACTTGTTACAATTTTTAATCTTTTTGGGCCCTTTTGGTTTATTTTCTGGCGAGGAGTTTTTATTAGGAGTATATTCTGTTTCTTATTTATGGGTTTTGGTATTCTATTTAAGAATTGTTATTGCAACTTGTTCTAGGGTTCTATCTTGGTTGCTGGTGTTATATAAGAGCATCCATGTTTTATGTTTCACCAGAGCTTTTTTATGATGATTGGGAATTGACAATAGAAATAGATAGAGAGATTATTTTCTTTCCCTGTTCCACTTCTCTAGCTGGTTTCCCCTTTTCTTATCCTGTTCTTTGGGTCTCCTTACCTAGGTTTAGAATAACAGTTGCAGTTTTTTTAATGGTTGTGTTTGCGACTGTGGTACCATGGGTCATATTGGCATTCATACTGGTAGTAGTATTGTAATTTAACCAGAAATGATAAATACTGATACTTCAAAATTTAAATGTTTATATCTTAATCTCATGAAAAAAATACTTTCATGCTTGCCTTATTTATATGACAATATTCTAACAATTTAGCTTAGTACACTTGAAAACTAAGAGGTTCTCAAAACACTTTGCAAAAAAATAAATAAAATAAAATAAATAATAATAATAAATAAATGGATAAAATAAATCAAGATTAACAGCAACAAGGTCTGTGATATTGATATGGACATCTTTCTGAACCACAGCACCCATAGGTCACTGTGTTACCCAATGCTTGTTATTTGATTGTGCTCTCCTTGTTCTTCTCCTCTCTTCCAAATTCTTCAATCTCAACCTGCATCAAAGTAGACACTGAGAGTCTGCCCTGCCCAGTGCAACTGTTTTGACTTTGAAATGCGCAGAGCCAGGCATAAAGACATTACTGGTCATGATAGCCAGAGAAGTAGGGTTATGCAATAGACGATGTTAATTTGTTTGGTTTTCATGCTATGCCATTGATGGTGGGTAGCAGATTGGCACAATTTTTTTTCCTGCCTCTGCTTAGGGAGAATCATCTGCCTCTTTTACATTGGATCCTTATTTTTTCTCAAAGAAAACTGATCCTTTTTTTCCTGGCACACACACACACACACACACACAAACATGTATGTATCAGGAAATTAGTGTTGTAAAAGGTTTGGCAAGTTTAGTGGAGTTTTGATTTGACTCTCCTGAATGGCCATTATCATCATTCACGTTATGATTCAGTCTTGTATTATGAAACATAGCAAAAGCAGATTTTGCATTACATTGGGTTGGTTAAAGATTTTGTCAGTTTGCTCCTTTAACCAGAATTGGAAACTAGGTTTCTAATATATGCTTGGGGGGGTGGGGTGCTGAGATGAAATGGTGTGATGAATGTGGTGCATGAATACATATATAGCTACCCAAATATATTTTTTCTTCTCACTTTATTTGTTTGTTCCAGTATAATGAATGTGTGGTGGCTTCTTGATTACTATGAACTATCAATCGCTATCAGCTAAATTTGGCTTTTTGGATTTACAAAAGAACTGCCGACAATAATATGACCATTGTATTGCAGGAAAGATGTGCTGCTGCTGATGCGATATCTCTTGTTGCTCAAATATTACGCAGATCTAAAACCCATCTTCAGTCCATTCTTCTTCAAAATAATCCAGCTATAGTGGAAGATTTCTTTGTCCTCCTGGTATATTTCCTTGTTACTGTTTTTTCTGGAGCATCTTGTCAACTATAATGGTTTCGGAATCATGAAAATTAATTTGACACTATTGATGAGCAGTTGTTAAATTGGATATTTGGTATCACATATGTTGACATTATAAAATGCTATAGGAGAAAAGGATGCAATGAAATATGATTGTCCTGTTATTCCATGTACTAATTTTGCAAGAAAGCCATCGGACATCTCATAAAGTAAATTAGTTTTCCAATTGTATACCAGATCTTGGGAGTTTGCTTATCTACCCATGTGTGCACAACATGTTCTGATTGCTCCATTTCTAGTATAAGCTTAGGTCAACAGAAAGGAAATGAGCAATGGTGGAGTGGAAACATCTAAGTTTTGAGATTGTCGTTGGTTAAGAGAGAGGGAGGACTTGATCAGCCTCCAAATAACCTACATTTCTTACAATACCTATGCCATCTATTTTACAACTTGCCCATTACTTGAAGAGGCATGCTGTTTTTATTCTCTTTTCTTCTATTCAACCCAAACGAGTAGAGTTGTCCAACAACAAAGTTTGGACATAATCATATATCCTCTCAGCTAACCTTCAGAGATTATCTTTCCTTGTTAGGTTGTTTTTCGTTTTGTACCTGAAATATGTGCTCCTTATGGTCTTAGTTTACATACAAATGTTTTCGTTCTTTTTTTGTTGATAAGTTATCTTTTATCAGGTGGATTCTGTACCAGATCTTACAGAGCACATACACAGGACAACTGCAAGATTACTTCTTCATATGAATGGGTAAGTCCAGAATTGAATAATGTTGATCAAATCCCATTAGATTTATTTAACCATCAAATATTGTTCTGCATTAATGAACTGGATAATTTTAATGAAGCTCTATTGGATGCCCGTGCCCATCTCCAATGGCATTTCTCACTCCAGATGATAACTTATGACTTCCTATCCATATTTTAAGATATATTTGATGAAAATTCTAATCTGTGGTGCATTTTAAACTGTTTAGAGGTTCCTCAAAGCAGCCTTTTGAATGGCAAGTCAATTCCTCAATGAAACAAAGCCGAATAACAATAATATTAGCTACCATAGTAGCACTCAAAAGCCCTTGAAGCTGTGATATGAGAAGAAATCAGCTTATGGCCTAAAATGGAACCAACCTGCTGCCAATTAAATAAAAATTGCAGCTTGTGAATGGATGAGTCAAAGTTGGGAGCCAAGGGATATATGATGCAGGATCATCTGCAAAACCTATTTACAGGGCATGAAAGTTTCAGCAAGGTGGTGGATTGGGATAAGTATCATATTCAATATATTTGGTGATTAGATAAAACAGTTTGTTGTCAACAATAGAAGCAGCAGTCTTGAAACTCGAAAGGAATACTTCAAAATTGAATTAATGAGAAAAACACATAATTTGAGACAATGAAATCTTAATATAATTGCCTCAGCTAAAGGAGGAATTGCAGCATCAAATGGGTGAGCTGTAGAAACAGGAAGCACGGGAAGCAAATGGAGATACTAATCATTTTATCTATGTGATAGGATTGTTACAAAATATATTGGATATTTGTCCAGTTGAAAGACATACTAATAAGTGTACCTAGTTAAACAATTAATCTTAATTGTTCACTGCATGCTTAAGAAGCCTTCAACTGGCTGCTTTTCAATGCCTGCTTATACATCAGATGATCAGTTTCACATGCAAAATACAATCAAAACTTTAGATTCCACAAGAGTCTTGGTTACCTATTAGCCAAAAAATTCTCTGAAGAATATAATATTTCTTTAGTCATAATTTTTGTCTGGGTTGTTAATACCATCTTTGATGCTAAGCACTTTTTACAGGTATGTTGATCGGATTGCTAACGCTAAATGGGAAGTAAAAGAGCTTGGGCTAGAGCATAATGGGTTTGTTTCATTCTCTTCTTTTTATTCTAATAATCATTTCATGTATATTGTTCAAGTTTATGATTTCGTAACTTCCAGGCTAATAATGACCTTGATATTATTAATCTCTTTCTTATTTTTTCCATTTAAACTGCATGTTGAGTGAGGTGATTTCATATATCAAAGATAAGTTTGCCTGTAGCATTATCCAGTGATGTTCAAATATCTACTTCATACCATTTTTCTTTTGTTTCGTCCAATATTTGTACTGCAACCTGTGTCATCAATCGAAGTTTTTGATGCACTTCTGTTCACCAACTCTGGTTGACTTAGGGTCGAATTTCTATTTGATGATAACCCTTTACTTTGGAGTTTTTTTTCATGTATCCAACAGAATATACTGCTTCCATTTTTTAAGCTCCCCCTCATGTATTGACAGGTATGTTGATTTACTGTTGGGAGAATTTAAGCACTATAAAACAAGGCTTGCACATGGTGGAGTTCACAAAGAGGTAATGGCTGGTCTGCATCTCATGAGTCGCAGCATCCTGTAAAATTTTGAATACAGATTTTACAACTTTCATCATTTGTTTTCTCAATATTTGGTAGAATAACATCCCAAAGTATCATGATATTTTACATTCTGGATACACGTACGCTTTGAATACCTGTGTATGTGCACATATGCTGAAAAATAAATGGGTCTCTTGGGCTGGCTAATTTACTGCTAGTGACTGCTCATTTAACAGTTCTCCCAATCATTGGCCTTTCCTGATCATAATTGGCATAATTTTCTTGTGTCCTTGTTCTCTAAACATGTGATGATACTGAGCAGGAGGGAAAAAAAATCTAAATAACTAACATGATGAAGTACACGCAAATCATGGATGTTAATGTGCACTTCACATACAATAGTTAAGTAATGTGTTTCTTAACAGTGGTGAGACGCGATGTCAACTTTTTATGTAACACTCGGTGGCTTGGGATATGTGGAATGGACTCTTTGCCTACTGCAGTGAGCAGTGGGCAGGTGGAGGATTTTTTGCAAATTTTTTTGCCGGTTTTGGGAGGAGGAGGGTCCTTAATCTTTTGTGGATGTGCTATTTTAGCTGCTAGTTGAAATGTTTGGATGGAGTAATTACTCTCGTTCCAAAGCGGTTGTGGTGGGAAGAATAATCTACTTGGATTTCTTGTCCTCTTCCAACTGTAGGAGCTGTTAGGGGGTGTCTTGAGCAATTATTTTGTGGGACTACAGTACCCTTTTTTTATGGTTTTGCTTTCTGGCTGTCTGCTCTTCTGCATCTTTTCATGAGGATTCACTATCTTTGCTTTTGTATTATTTTCTTCTCATGATCTAATAATATCTTCATTTATCTAGAATTGAAGTATTTTTGCTAATAGCTTCTACTTGCTTGGCTATGATTTTGCTCTAATTTTGTACTAATATAAACATTTCTTTCTCCTGTCCCAAAATGTGAATAACTAGCTAATTTAAACTATATTCTATCTTCCTAGGTTCAAGACCGCCTTTCAGAATATGGTCTTGAAATCGTCTCTGAGACCCTCATTGAAGGCCTATCACGGGTGAAGAGATGTAGTGATGAAGGACGAGCTCTTATGTCATTAGATCTTCAGGTTCCATCACTGTTCCAAAAATTTGTATTTTTCCATTATGCCTCTACCTTTTGCACCTCTCAAGAAATGATAAATTTAAGTGCTATCTAAATTCCTTTCAGGTTTTGATCAATGGCCTACAACATTTTGTCCCCGTAAATGTTAAGCCAAAATTACAAATGGTTGAAACTTTCATAAAGGTAAGAATTGCACATTCAATGAGACATATTCTTGCAAACATGTAAAGATTGAAGGAGAAATGTTTTGGTAGTGATGTTGGAGGCTTGCTATTCTACCCATTTGCCTTGGTTCTTGGATTATTAATTGGAATTTTCATTCTCTCAACTCATACAGGCTTACTATCTTCCAGAAACGGAGTATGTACACTGGGCTCGTGCTCACCCGGTAAGAATAATTATGCACTGGCATTGAGGAAGTGTTTTATATTTTCAATGTACTTTTGACTGTTTCAATCTGCCTATTAATAATGTAAATACATTTTTCCTTTCAGGAATACAGTAAAAATCAAATTGTTGGGTTGGTCAACCTCGTTGCTACAATGAAAGGTTGGAAGAGAAAAACCAGGCTGGAAGTAATAGAGAAAATCGAGCGAGCTGAGTGACTTCAGACGGTCATGTTAGGTTTTGGGTAAATAAAATCTTGCCCTCCACTATTTTTTTTTTTTTTTTGTAACATGAATAATGTATATTGCATAGTATTCTCGTGTTTCTTGATTATGTTAGGTTGTATATCGTGTAATATATGGTTTTCCCTATGTGGGAATATCAGATGTAATTCTGGATCACATTATACATTAAATAATGATTTTGTAGGTAAGATTTGATTCCAAGTACGTTGGCTGCAAAAATTATATGATCGAGTTGTGCTTTTGTAACCGATCAAAGTAAAAAAAAAAAGAAAAAAAAGCGTGAGAATTACAGATTCGCATAACAATTTGGTCCTTTATGGAGTTCGTTCTTGTTTGCATTTTGCTGATTCTATTTTATGATATTTTCATAGCATTATCTTGGACGGGAAAGGGCTTCCTTTGTCATGCAAGGTATATCCATGATTAATTATTTTATGCGTTTGTTATTGCCGTTGTGTCTGGAGATCAAGACGATAGTTGTCTCTTCTTCCCTTTCTTTGCCATCGGAACTGTTGTATGTTTATACTGTGCAAGTTGATGGCTCCAGATTACTGTATCACATAACAAGTAAATGAAGAAAGAACTCACCGGGGATAGTTTGTGAACTTTGCAGCCACCATGTTTGATTACATCATCATTTCTCTTTTAGATCTGCCTATACGGTCTTCACTGTATGGAACATTGTTAGCAATATCGGGTTTAAATTGAGAAACCAAACCGAATTGAGTTGACGTCGTCTTTTTTTCAAAAAAAAAAAAAAAAAATCGCTATTTTTAAAGCTAACAGAATTTTGTTTGGTTTTTTGGTTATGGTTAGGTTTTTAAATTTTTTTATTGAGTTTCTATTGAAAACCGAATATATATATATATATATAGTCTCTAGATATCTCTAGATAATCTAACTTTAAAAAATCATAAAACTATCTTATCAGTTCAGCCTTTTATTTATTTTTTCATTTTTTGTTTTTCATGCTAAATAAATTCTATTAATGATTTTTGGGTTATATAATTTGACTTGGATGCTTGCTATTTTGAAATTAATTGGAATTTTGAAATGGTATTTTTTTATTTTTTATCAAAATAAAATTGTGAATATATAGAAATTTAATTCATGATAAAAATAGTGTTTAAGAAACCAAGAATCATAATATCATTTTTTATATTAAAAAAAATATTTCGGCTTTTCATCAAAAAACCGAAATTTTCTTCTTATCGAAACTGAAACTGAATTTTGTTTTTTCTATTAAAATCAAAACTGGATAACCGAATCTAGTGAGAGTTTTTTTTTTTTTTTCATTTCATTTGTGCATCTGTGACGGTTGTTGAACCTTTCCGCAAGACACGATCTGGTCATTGGATCAATCCGTGCGTCGCTGGATTGACTTTTAAATCTTGTTTTTTAAAATTTTCGAGTAAAAACTCAGAACGTAATTATTATTATTATTATTATTATTCTTTTCGGTCCGGCCCATTTTGACCGGGTCAGTGACCAGGTCAGACTCTGGGGGCTGCTTTTTGCCCTTTCGTAATCAATGGGATCCACATGCAAATGAGGGCAAGCACGTAAAAAAAAAATAATAATAATAGTGATCTCCTGGGCTGCAATTTGATTTTCCATGTCAGTTTTCAGTGTCTCGGGTTCGGTCCATCAATTAGATTTCCACCACAGTAGATTGGTAAGCGAACGATTTCGACTGATTCCCTGACACATTGATCAGTGTTGTCACTATTACCTTCCTTGTATTTTATCACGATTTCTCACGTAAGAAAACAAGCATACGCAGGAAACTGAAATGCTGCCCTCCTGTCCTTTCACTTCTTCCTTCAGTATCCTCACGTTGTGGTACTGATTATGAAGCCTCGTTATCACTGTTCCCAATTTCCAGCCTAAAAGGTAACGACTTCGGTCAAATTGACACCCTCTTTATATACAATTTTTTTAAAAAAATTAATTTTATATTCCAATCATTATTCACCAGAAGATCACCGATAAATGAAATGTTTGGTAGAAGCAGGTTTATTCGATTTTAAATCCAACTACTACTGAATTTTTTAGTGTTCTGAATATAGAAAATTTCGTGGGAAAAACATAAACTAAAACTTTTGGTTTTGATTTGAATTTAAAAACAGTTTTTGATATGTTGCCATGTTTAAAAGATCATTTTGGTGGCCAAAACAATGAAGTTTCTATAGCGAATAAATGACAGAAGATATCCTAATCTAAACACTTCACAATTCGTGTATTAAAATTATATATATATATATATATATATATATATATATATATAAAATGTCAATCGAAATGGTGAATAATACAGATATATTTGAAAAATATAGCCTAATTCTCCTGTCGATCATGTTTGTTTGAATGGGGAGCGTAAACACGAATAAAAAGGGACGAGAAAGGATCATAGGAATAATTGGAAGAGACATGCTCGAAAGACAGAGAGATGTTATCATATTCTCATTAAGAATTAAACTTTAAATGTTAAATGTATCCATCCAAAGTATAAATTAAAACTCATTGATCTTTTTTCTTGTCAAAAGTAGACTTATTTATATTTCAGAAAAAAAAAAAAAATGTCGCATACATGGGAGTCCAATTTTATAATAATAAAAAAATCTATTGAAATGTGAAAACTTTTCAATCAAAATATAATGCCAAAAACATAGAAAAAGAGAATTAGGTCTGTTTCTTTTAATTTTTCTTAAGGATTTCTGGCATTTTAATTTTAAATCAATTAGTCAATGGGAACTATGTGTAATATTTTTGTACTTAAGAACAACTTATGCTGGTGTCCCTTGAATATAAACATGTGAAAGGTTTGCCTCTGAATCCTCCTTTTGCATTTTTTTTTTTTTAGCAATAGTTTTTACTTATTTTAATACCCTTAACGGACAATCAAATTAAATGAAAAAAAAATAACACTGGAAAAATAATTGAAAAATTAGAAAATTAAATTATTTCCTGTGAAAGAAGCAATCACGATGTATATTTGGTTTCTTTTTTTAATCTCTCCGTTTGTGCTAGCGTTTGCAACAGCTTCAGCCTGTGTGGCATGTACTATCTCTCACCATACTTTTCTCATTTCATGTTTGCTCTTCTGGTCTTTCTTTGCAGAAGCTGCTCCTGCCGCTGGTGACTCTGTGATTTCCCCCACCATGTTTAATGCAATGCAGGGTTGGTCTACTGGTACCTGTACCCCCACCATTATGAACAAAAAAAAAAGATAGATAAATAAATATATGCCTACACTTTGAAGTTTGAATTAGAAACATGAATCACTTCTTTCAGATAAAGTAGATTATCTATGTCTGTCCTCTCCCTCTCAGGGTCTGTCAGTGTACTGTTTTTTTCTTTTTTAACTTTTTTCCGAACACAAGTGGTTACACTCAATCTATCTAATATACTGCAATATATCGGATAAATCTGCAAAACCAATTTGGTACGATTACTGGTTAAAACAGTATCTGTAAACCCGACTGATGAGCCGTGGGGAGAGCGAAGGAGGGAGGAGCTTCAACCTTGGTCTGCTATATTTTTTTATCCTCTAATTTATCTCACGTTTAATAATTTAAACTAATTTTTTATTATTTTATTGAATGCATAAATCGAAGATTGCTACTCAAAATATTTTTTACATTCATAAAGATTTAAACTCAAAATAATTTATTTAAACGATTAGAATTTTTTTCACTCAAGTTCAATTTTCTTAAATTTAATTTATTATTATTTAATTCAAATCTTTTCAATTAAGTGCAATAAATTTGTTACATAATTGTTGCTAATGAAAATGGATATTTATAATTAAGATTTTGAATTTTTATATTTTATGTATATATAAATTATTAAATATTTTACATATATATCTATATTCGACTTAAATTTTCATACCTAATAGTTATATGGAATCTCTTTTCAGCAGGTGGAGGACCTAAATTTCTAGGCATTTAAGCGTGATTCCTTTTTATGAGTGCGTCCGATGTGGTGCTAATAGACATCATTATTAACCTTTGCTCCTCCTCCATCTAGAAGGAATAATTCATCAGTGAATAGTCTCTCTTTCTGGAAACTGACTTTTGAGTCTGTTCTCTTTTGTATCTGCGCCTAATTTTAGGGATTTTTTTTTCCTTTTTCTTGATTATATTAAATTAACTTGTATGTTTGAAGTGACTAGTTAGTTAGGTGTTCTTTGCTAAAATAAGAAAATAGAAGTAATGAAAATTTGTTATTTTCTACAGTATCTCTTGTAATTTTTATCATCTTGAAAATAAATGTTCTTGTAATCCCTTATTATTATTTTTTTTTTGAAGAAAATAGGTAAGACGCAAATATTATTATTATTCCTTATTTATAATCAAATAGTTTTTCGTATTTTATTATGGATTTAACTAAAAAAAAAATTAAAACTTAAATAATTAAACATTTATCGTTAATATTTCTATTGCTAAATCGATTTTTAAATATTACTCTAGTTCTTATGATAAACAACCAACTCTTAAAACATATTTTTCTAATTATTCGCTGATTTGATTCTTCAACGTGATTTTTTTCTCAACTCTTTTATTAAAAAAAAAATAATAATTAAACTCACAAAAACCAAAACTCTAGAATTTATAAAAACACCCTAAGAGATAATAATTTTGAAATTTATTTAAGTTCATTAATTCTACTGCCAAATATTAAAACACTTTTCCCGTAATATTTGATTTTTCAACTTGTTTTTTTCAACTCTTTTATTAAAAAACATTTGAACTCACAACTCCAACCAAACTTATAAAACAAAGCTAATGATTTCGAATTTTGATTTATCAATTTTTTAGAATAGTATTCAATGAATGGAAATTTAGACTGCAGTAGTTGAAGATTCTGATAGTATTTTGGTTTTCTTCAATATCCGTACGAAACAAATCACGAAGGGTTTTCCTATGCCTGATGTCTTTATTTATGAGGTGCCTATTATCATTTTTCAGGTTAGGTACTTTGCTGACAATTAATTATCTCTCAACATTTTTCATTGCCAGAGCAAATAAAGTGATGAATCTGTGTAATAAAAGTATCAGAATAGTTTAAAGTAACACAGTATTTGTTTACTCAGTGACCTAATTATAATGGATCTAAGTAGGATTTAGAATATAATCCGGTTTATTTTAGAATAATATCAGTGATTTAATTATTAACTAAATTAAGTAGCAAACACAGACAACAACCGACGCAACAAAACAATTAACTTGTCATGTAAATACGTGTGGTCTGGCATTTATAATCAATCATTATCAATTAGGTTTTGGACTTCCTGTTTTGTCTAAAGTTTTGGACAAAACTTGGACACGATTGCAACATTATTGTCTGTCATGACGCTAAAATCATGACAGGAATAATGATGGTGTTTGTGGAATTAGTACTAGCTTGTGACAACTCATATTTATGATGCTGAAATTGAAAATTATACATTAATTATTCAGAAGGTAGTTTTGGACTTACATAGTGTCCTGCTCCGAGAATCCAGTAGAAGTGCAGGTTTTTGTACGACTTGGTAAATCCTCTTGTGAGTTTATCTCCACTGCAAAAAAGAGGAGTTCTGTCCAAGCTCAAAAAATCATGGAGCCCTTCCCACCTGAAAAATGTGTCAGTTTAATTCACATATCATGCAGAATTCTTAAAGTTTGATGATACCATACCTTTATACATAGAAGAAAAGTCAATAATAACGATACTAATTAGTTAAAAAAAAAAAAGAAAAAGGTAAAACTCTTACTTCAGTTTTTCAACCCATGCTTCGGTTCCCTTGGTTGAACAAATGAGATCAAGCTACAATAAACAATAAAAAGGAAACAAATTTGTTATTTTAAAGATGACAATGAGGAATATTTGGTAATACCTATGAGGAGAAACGGTGCAATTGTCTATAAAAATAAATAAATATTCTGAAATTCAAAGTCAGTTATGTCTATTTTATAAAGATTTATGTAACAGTCAAATAAATTAAAATAATTACAACTCGAACTTAATTTACCAAAAAAATTTATCAGATAAGAAATTTACAGATGCGAGAATACTATACCAAAATATGTTTGTGTATATTTAATTATTTTTCCTGTCTTAAATAAATAATTTTTTTGTCTTTTCCTATACATTAAAAAATTGTCAATTATTATGTCATATTAACATTTTTTTCTAATATATATTACAAAATAAATTTTAATTAGAAGTATTAAAAAAATACTAAGATATTTTTTAAAACATATATAGATAAAAAAAATAATAATAATCTCTTCTTCAGAACCGCGAATATTCACGTTGCAAAATGATAGACATTGCACATGGGTGGACCCAACCCATCACTTAGGGTCTATGCAGACTATGGTAGCATAGAGCCAATAGAAAAGGACATGGAGAGAAATCATACTTGCCCACTGTATATAGTCAAATTGACTCCTTTGGCTAAGAGTTCGTCAACCTACCAAAAAGATTAGAAAATGAATAAATAAAAATAACATCCTAATAAATTCCATTAGGTGTAAAAAAATAACAAAACAGGAATTAATTTTTTCTCTAAATAGAAATAAAACAAAATATTATAAACCAAATATTCCTTAATGTAGTTTGTATTATTTATTTATTTTTTTTCAATCTTAGAAACCAAATACAAGGATGAAAAAAATGGATCTATCCACCCTGAGCTAGTAATTAAATAAAAAATCACTATAATACCTCATTGATTCTTGGTCTCATAAAATCGCCTTCCATATGGCTGAAAACGTTATCAGACTGCTCTCCCCATCTGTAAACACCAAAATAATGATTCAATGATGGGCTAATTAGTTTTTAGCTGATAATTAATTACTTGAGCGTGAAGGAAGCATACGAGAAATTAGCAGGGATAATCTTAAGCTTTCTTTTAATGACCCCATTCATTATGCTTTCAAGATCACCGACACCACCAGCTGGAAGTGACCTCAAGGAGCTAAGATAACCTGAGTAGCTCTTCCTTGCAATATTTTTTGATAATTCAGCTGTTAGAGATACAGGGTCCACCCCCGAATCCAATAAAAAATTATAGAAATCCTGAAAATATTGCCACGAAAAAGGAAAATCTTTCAAAATAAAGATCAATTGTTTATTGAACTTCTTATAAAAGACATTAAAAAAAAAAAAAAATACCACAGAGTTGCTATAATCACTAATCACTCCCTCGAGGTCAGCCCAAGAATCTGTTGCAGCAGCATACTGATTTTCGCGGATTTGCTGCCTAATCTTCTCTGCTAGGCTGCAGCATTGTAAAATAAAGATGTTAATGGCTGAAAAATGAGATTAAAAAATTACTTAAATTAAATCATAGCTATTTTGTTTTCATTTCATTAATAACAGAGCAAAAGTTTGGACCTGTTTGCCTTCTTAAGTCCATTATTGTCAAGCCTTGATAAATCTTTTAGAAGAGGACCCCATGAAAGCTGGAAACTTCAAATTGTAATATCAGAATCCAAAAATGAAGTACTGGAGTTGGAAAGTGTCGTCGGACCAGTTTTCGCACGCTGACACTATTGAACTGTGAAGATAAGACTAATTAACTTACCACAAAATCTTCTGGGGAGATCCAAGTGTCACCCAGTGCTACTCCTGCATATATATGTATAGAAATAGCATGTAAATTTGTTTGATCATGTTTCTTTAATAGAAGATTGTTTGATAAGAAATCAACGATTACCTCCAAGTTTAAGTTTCAAATTTCCTGCTTCAATTGCTTTTAGAGCTGATAATCCAAGAGTGACAGCAAATTTGCCTCCATAAGATTCTGCTACAATATACAAAGGACTCTTTTGCAGACTCTCATTTCTATTAAATATTTCCTCCAACAAATTAGTCAAGTCAGCTGCTGCCTCATCATCAGTTTTTACAAACAAGTTTGCATTCTTGTCTTCCACAAAACTGTATCCTGTGCCAACTGGATTATCCTGCACAATCCCCGGCAAAGAATAGGTCAAATTAGGAAGGAAAATAAAAACCTGCAAACTTGTAAAATCAAATTCTAAAGAAAATGGCTGAGAATTACCACAAACAGAAGATCAGCCACTTGTAACCATGTAGAATTTCGCGGCTTCAGATAGGCATCCAGTGGCCCAATTTCTTCAAAATTCCCTATCCCAACACCTGATCCTCCCTGTTTTGTCAAAGAAAACAGATATCTATACATATTGGTTTTTCAGATTAATCAGTAGAGAATTTTGATACCAAACATTAGTTATTTAGTACTCACAGGTCCACCCTGCAACCAAAGAATGATTGGCCATGGTTTAGAGGAATCTTCAACTCTGTAAGAACTTCTATAAAGCCACCAAAACATGTGTGCTTCTGTTTAAAGCAAACCAAGATGGACACATTTTCTCAATTACTAACAATATATATATATAAACAGAATGAAAACTGTGCAATTCTGAAACAGTTTTGCTTACTTGGTCTCACTTCTACATATCCCCATTCTTCTGATCCATCATGGGTTCTTGCACCAGTGGCTACTTTTTTCTTGAAGCAGTCACTGTTTCTCCATTAAGCAAAGAAACCAAGAACACAACAGACAGAGCAAAAAAACATAATTTTCCCATTTCCAGAAACCAAAAAGACCAGCAGATGCCCACTTCACAGACTGAACAGAATCATGTAGTAAAAGAGAATGAATGTATAAATAAAGATAAGCAGAGGATGATTCAAATTAAGATGTCTTTTTTTGTTTCCTGTAACAGAAATAACAAAAAAGTGGAAACTTCTAAGGACATAACAAAAATAGCGTTCAAGAATTAGGAATGAAGAAAATAGTTTTTCTTCTTTAAAGGCAAGTTGTTTAAGGAGTATGCACTACGGTGGCCAAAACATAGCTGTCAAACCAAAACCACCGGTCAAACCGGAAATTAACCTGACGGACCGGGTTTTCATTGATAACCGAAAAACCAGCTAAAACCTCTATCCTGCCTCCTCAAAAACCATTTCTTTTTTTTGCAATCAAAAATCAATTTAGATATCAATGATAGATGCAAAAAAATTATTCTATAATGTTTCTTTCTTTTATTTTTTTATTTTTTATTTTTTTAAGGAGTAACCAAAGTGATTTGCATGCTATTCAATGTTCATAGAAGTAAAATACAATCTTCTAGCCCCGTTTTCTGAGGGTCAAAAGAATCTAATTCTTTCAAAACACGCTTCTTACTAATATAATCAAATTTTCCTTGCAAGAGTATAACTTAATCACTGTCCATTTTTCTTGCTAAAACTTTTTATTTTAATGAAGATGTGCCGACAGTTAATTGGCTAAATTTTATTATAAAATTTCATTAAATTGTTATCGGATTTTAAAATTAAAAGTTTAACTAATTTAATATCAAATCCAATCAAAGTCCTAACATAAATGTTATTCAAAAAGAATTATGATAAGCCAAGACATGCTAAATGTAAAAGATGTGAATGATAAATATGATTCTATGGTAAACAATCAAAATATTTAATATTATATGTTAATCCATGTATATCATATAATAAAAGTTATTTTTCTTAATTTGCTTGGATATGAATCAGCCAAGTATTTGACTCATGAGATTTAACATATGAGATTTTTCCAAAATTGTTTCGGATAGAATATTCCTAAAATTATCATTACTTGAGAAATTTAAGATAAGAAATGAAAATATTTAAGATTTGACTTTTTTTTCAGTAGAACGTCTTGGAGTAATAATAATTTACATGGGGAGTGATAGAGAGTGTGTGGTGCTGGAAATTTTTAGTAGAATTTGGACCAAAAAAATAGAAATTTTAACGTGGAATATAATAAGAATGGTGATAATACCAAAAATCATATTCTAGGCGAATGGATGGGCGTTAAATGAGAGAGATTGCATAGGGGAAGTTACTTCTTGTTGTTTTGCAGCGCGGAAAGGGACTTTTAGAATAAAGTATGGGATTTTTTACACTGCAAAAAGTCTTTGATATGGCCTATCTATAGGAATATAGATGGAGTTATAAATTAGTCTTTACAGTTTTGCAAAAAGAATTATATAGTATCTTTTGTTTTAAAAATAATTTATTTGGTTAATTTAGTATTATTTTTGTTTTAAAAAATATATTTTCATATTTTTAATTATTTTTTTATTTTTCTATTCATTAAAATAAAAAATAAATTAAAAAATGAAAGGATTAAGTTATAAATAAATTAAAATGATAGGGACTCATTAATTAGTTATTGAAACTTAGAGAAATTATTTAATTTTTTTTTGAAAAACTAGAAGAACTAATTTATAATTTAATGTGTGTGTGTGTGTGTGTGTGTGAGGCTCTCTTTGTAATGCATTCCCTTATTTATTTACTATCTATTTTTGTTCAATATTCTCTGAGTTTGTAGGGCTAAAAGGATAGTTTGAGGACCAGAAAAGCTTCCCTCTTTTGAGTTATCCACTGAAAATCCCTAAAGAAAACGACAATTGGAAACATGCTATTATTACCTTTTGGATTGCTTTTAGGTAGTCAGTCTATATCGTATTCCATGTGGTATTCATTTGGATTGCTTTTCACTAATGAGTTCTTTCATTAAAAAAATAAAAATTGTTGATGGAATTATCAAATATGAGTTTGGAAGCTATTGTCAAAAACAAAGGGTAAATGATAAATCTGTTTTTATATAATAATATGTTTTTTAATAAAAATTACTTTTATCTTTAAGTTTCAAATTAATATATCAATTTAATAAGCTTTTTAGAATAAATAACAGAAATTAATCACATAATTAGTACATAATTGTTTTTCATTCTCATAATACATTTGCAAACCAGACAAATAAAAAAAATTATATGAAAACCAAACTATTAATTTAGATAATTTAACATAAAATCTTGTCATAAAAATAGATTAGAAAATTGATTTATATTGAATGATAAAATTAATGTAAGAATATATTAAAGAATTATTTTATTATATAAAGACAAATTGAATCATTAATCGATAAAAACATCGATAAACGAAAATACATCAAACTTCAAAATGATAACCTATCTTTCTTTTTAAGAGAATCCTAATTACCTATCTTAAAAGGTATTTATTTAAAAGAGTTTTCAACTTGAGCTTCTAATACATAATGGCTAGGATCTATATCGATCATTTGAGCTTGAAATTAACAGCAATTAACATTGTTAGCTCTTGTAAGTGATCACTTGGAACATTGAAGCATTCTTTTGTTTTTTGAAGATTGTCATGAATTGATAAGTGGAATGCTATAAATAACTATATGTATTTTTTTTTAACGAATAGGCATAATGGAAGGACCGGTAATTTTATTCAATTTTTTTTTATCATTTATTTTATGTCTTTCTTTTTTAGCAATTCGCGATTAAAAAAAAAAAGAATTAGAAAGCATTACTCAATCGATAAGTATGAACTGGAACTTGGAATCTCATCATTGAGGGCGCGGCCATTGATTACTTAGAAGCATTCTTAAATGATGTCAAGACATAGTTCTTAAAAGGAAGTAATTAAACCTTAGATTTTGAATCTCAACTACCAAAAGATGATAAAATTTCTTGCAGTGGTCCCTGCTAGACTTCCATCTCAATGATCACGCCAACAGCATCTTGGAATGGTTAAACGCAAAAACACCACCTTAGTAAATAGAAAATTTCAATGTTACCATCAAACAATTTTTTGTATCAATTTTATCATTAAATTTCAGAAATTTTTAATCCATTTTTAAGACTTTCCGTATATATTTTCATCTAAATTGTACTGTTCTTTTCCTTTATAAAAATGACGTCATTTTGTAAAAAAAAACTTAAATGTATTTTTAAATAATTCTAATAAAAGTCTTTAAGTGAGAAATCAAAATAGTTTAGTGATAAATTGATAAAAAAAAATAATAATTTAGATCTAAAATTGATGATACCCTTATAGTTTCATGGTATATTTAATGTTTGTCCAAATAAAAACAAATCTTCTAAATTTTGAACTGCTCTCCACCTAGTAGGATGTGACAGTAAACAGTTTATAATCTGTAACCAATTAATTTCTAATTAAATTTAAAGTTATATAGGTACAAGGTTTCCTAAGGCATCACATTCTTTAATAAACTTTACAAAAATTACTAAAAAAAAACTAAAAGATCTGTATCGTTATTATTTATTTACTGTAGCATTTATTATTATTATTATTTTTTTTTTTTTTTTTGAAAGGCAGTAAAGAACTGCTCGCTTGGCTTTTTTCTTTTTCTTTTTTGAAGGGCAGTCAAGGCCTGCTCGTTTGGCTTTTTCTTATCAGGCGGGAACCTGAGATTTATATATATATATATATATATATAGAGTGAGTATATATATATAGAGAGAGAGAGAGAGAGAGAGAGGAAGAAAATAAAATAAAAAAGAGGCTAGGCTCAGGCTCACCGCTCACGCATGGTTGCTATATATATATATATATATATATATCATAAAAATTAAATGTAAAAAATATAAAAAATAAATCATTATTTTTTTTTAGTTTTATGTACAATTTGAAAATGATAGAATATATATTATGTTTTTTAAGATTTTAATTTAAACATATAAATTTGATTATATTACTCTTATTGTTTAAAATTTATTTCCTCAATTATTTGTTTCTTATTAAAATTCTCATCATATTAATTTTTTATTTATAATTTTATTTTTTAATATATTAATTTTGAAATAAAATTTTAGAATATCGATATTTTTTTAAATATATTATCATAATTTATAAATTTTGATTATCTATATGTGTGTGTGTGTGTGTGTGTGTACGTAGAGAGGGAGAGAGAGAGAGCTAAAAGCGTATTTTAGATTATTTGAGTTAATTAAAAAAAAACATTAATAATCAATTAAAAAATTCATAAGTTTTATTTTTTTTTATATATATTTATTTAGAATTTATCAGAATCAATTTTATTATAGTTTTTATTTTAATCTATTGACTTCAAAATATTTTATACACTTTTTTTCTTTTTCTTTATTTTCTTCATTATATATATATATATATATATATATATATATATATATATATATTATCATGAAATTAGATGTGAAAAATATAGAAAATAAATCGTAATTTTTTTTTAATTTTACATACAGTTTGAAGATGATAGAATACATATGATGTTTATTAAGATTTTAGTTTCAACATATATATTTGATTATACTACTCTTATTGTTTAAAATTTATTTTTTCAATTATTTGTTTCTCATTAAAATTCTCATTGAATTAATTTTTTGATATAATTTTTTTTGTTAATAAATTTGATTTTTTAATATATGAATTTTAGAATAAAAATTTTAGAACGTCGATGTTTTATTTTTTAAAAATATGTTATTATAATTTATACAATAAATTATTTTATGCTTTTTAAATGAGAGTTTTATTTTTTAAAATTTATTATTGTAATTTATACAATAAATTATTTTTATGCTCTTCAAATGAGCATTTTATTTTTTAAAATATATTATTATAATAATTTATAATTTCTGATTGTGTGTGTGTGTGTGTGTGTGTGTGTGTGTGTGTGTGTGTGTAGAGAGAGAGAGAGAGGGAGCTAAGAGTATGTTTTAGATAATTTGACTTAATTTTTTTTTAAGAAACATTAATAATCGGTTAAAAAATTTCATATATATATATATATATATATATATATATATACGAAATTTATCGAATTAATTTTATTGTAGTTTATATTTTAATCTATTGACTTCAATGAATTTCATATAATTTAGCGAGCTTAGCCTTTTTTATTTTCTTTTTTTGTTATTTTCTTCGTATATATATTATCATGAAATTACGTGTGAAAAATATAGAAAATAATTTATTTTTTTAGTTCTATACAGTTTGAAGATAATAAAATATATATGATATATTTTAAGATTTTAGTTTGAACATATATATCCGATTATATTACT